ACCTATCGTCTTCGTTCGTGTTGTGTACCCTGCCACGCATTTCGGCACACCCCTCATACGGCTCGTGGCCCCATAGGGAGCGCCACCGAAGAAGATATTCACAATTGCGGTACTCTCAACTGCATGTGGTTGGGTCCTTCGCCAGGCTAATTGTTTTTCTGTTGGGACTTGCCTCCTTGGAGGCGGGCGTTCCTATAGTCATTCCTCCTACCCCCCCCCTCGCCTCCTTCCTCCTCTTCCTCCTCCCCCTCACCCCCCTCCCGCATTCTTCTTCGTTCTTCCTCTTCCCTCCTCGCCTCCTCGCCTCTTCCCTCCTCGCCTCATCCCTTCATCCCTCGCCTCCTTTTTCCTCCCTCGCCTCCTCCCCTCCTGCCTCTCCTCCAGCACTTCGCCCAAACGTGCTTCAGAATGCTCTGGCGGGCCTCCGCCTGAACGTCCAGAGTTCCACATAGGGTCGCAGAACGACACCCAGAAGAGCGTTTTTCCCCCATCAGTGCTTGCACTCAAGGGGTCCTAGCGGATATTGAAGGTTTTGGCGAAAGTTTCCCGCCGAGTTTGGTAGCTGGTTGGGTTCCCGGGTTCCGGTTTCCAAGTTCCCGGGTTCCCGGTTGCGGGTCCTGTGCCGATTTCGGTGGGCAGCGGGTTTCCCCGGTTCCCGTTTTCCTGGTCGATCTTCTTATCGATCGGTCCCACCACCGATCTCATTACCCACCGCGCTATCAATCTTATTATCGATCTCGCAATTGATCTCACTATCGATCTCACAATCGATTTCACCATAGATCGCACGAGCGATCTCCCGATCGATCTGATTATCGATCCCATTGAATCGACTTCACTATCGGTCTCACGATCGACTGTACAGTCGTCCTCACTATCGATTCCACTATCGATCTCACAATCGATCTCAAGATCCATGTTAGTGATGTGGAAATTGAGATCGATTGTGCGATTGTTCCCAACCATCCTGTGGTGTTGGGTCCTCGTTTTGAAGAGACAGCGCCCCGCGTCCCACCTCCTCCTCCTCTCTCCTCCCCCTCCTCCCTCCTCCCATCATCATCATCATCATCATCATCATCATCATCATCATCATCATCATCATCATCATCATCATCATCATCATCATACATCATCATCATCATCATCATCATCATCATACATCATCATCATCATCATCATCATCATCATCATCATCATCATCATCATCATCGTCATTGTCATCGTCGTCATCGTCATCGTCATCACCCACTTCGGCACTCCCCTCACACGTTTCGTGGCCCCATAGGGAGCTCCACCGAAGGCCCGAGGGCTGCCGCCCGCATGCGTCCCCTACACCCATGTCGGCACACCCCTCACACGTTTCGTGGCCCCATAGGGAGCTCCACCGAAGGCCCCATGGCTGCCGTCCGCATGCGTCCCGCGCACCCATTTCGGCACACCCCTCACACGTTTCGTGGCCCCACAGGGAGCTCTACCGAAGGCCCCAGTGCTGCCGTCCGCATGCGTCCCGCACACCCATTTCGGCACACACCTCACACGTTTCGTGGCCCCACAGGGAGCTCCACCGAAGGCCCCAGTGCTGCCGTCCGCATGCGTCCCGCACACACATTTCGGCACACCCCTCACACGATTCGTGGCCCCATAGGGAGCTCCACCGAAGGCCCCATGGTTGCCGTCCGCATGCGTCCCGCACACCCATTTCGGCACACCCCTCACACGTTTCGTGGCCCCATAGGGAGCTCCACCGAAGGCACCAGTGCTGCCGTCCGCATGCGTCCCGCACACCCATTTCGGCACACCCCTCACACGTTTCGTGGCCCCACAGGGAGCTCCACCGAAGGCCCCATGGCTGCCGTCCGCATGCGTCCCGCACACCCATTTCGGCACACTCCTCACACGTTTCGTGGACCCACAGGGAGCTCCACCGAAGGCCCCAGTGCTGCCGTCCGCATGCGTCCCGCACACCCATTTCGGCACACCCCTCACACGTTTCGTGGCCCCATAGGGAGCTCCACCGAAGGCCCCATGGCTGCCGTCCGCATGCGTCCCGCACACCCATTTCGGCACACCCCTCACACGTTTCGTGGCCCCACAGGGAGCTCAACCGAAGGCCCCAGTGCTGCCGTCCGCATGCGTCCCGCACACCCATTTCGGCACACCCCTCACACGTTTCGTGGCCCCACAGGGAGCTCCACCGAAGGCCCATGGCTGCCGTCCGCATGCGTCCCGCACACCCATTTTGGCACACCCCTCACACGTTTCGTGGCCCCACAGGGAGCTCCACCGAAGGCCCCATGGCTGCCGTCCGCATGCGTCCGCACACAAATTTCGGCCCAACCCTCACAAGTTTACAACCCTCACAAGTTTTCGTGGCTCCCAGGGAGGCTCCACCGAAGGCCCCAGTGCTGCCGTCCGCATGCGTCCCGCACACCCATTTCGGCACACCCCTCACACGTTTCGTGGCCCCACAGGGAGCTCCACCGAAGGCCCCCATGGCTGCCGTCCGCATGCGTCCCGCACACCCATTTCGGCACACCCCTCACACGTTTCGTGGCCCCACAGGGAGCTCCACCGAAGGCCCCAGTGCTGCCGTCCGCATGCGTCCCGCACACCCATTTCGGCACACCCCTCACACGTTTCGTGGCCCCATAGGGAGCTCCACCGAAGGCCCCATGGCTGCCCTCCGCATGCGTCCCGCACACCCATTTCGGCACACCCCTCACACGTTTCGTGGCCCCACATGGAGCTCCACCGAAGGCCCCAGTGCTGCCGTCCGCATGCGTCCCGCACACCCATTTCGGCACACCCCTCACACGTTTCGTGGCCCACAGGGAGCTCCACCGAAGGCCCCATGGCTGCCGTCCGCATGCGTCCCGCACACCCATTTCGGCACACCCCTCACACGTTTCGTGGCCCCACAGGGAGCTCCACCGAAGGCCCCAGTGCTGCCGTCCGCATGCGTCCCGCACACCCATTTCGGCACACCCCTCACACGTTTCGTGGCCCCATAGGGAGCTCCACCGAAGGCCCCATGGCTGCCGTCCGCATGCGTCCCGCACACCCATTTCGGCACACCCCTCACACGTTTCGTGGCCCCACAGGGAGCTCCACCGAAGGCCCCAGTGCTGCCGTCCGCAAGCGTCCCGCACACCAGGTGTGTGGCGTGCCGACATGGGCGTCGCGGCGCGCGGGCGCTGCCGTCGGGGTTCCCAGGGAAGCCCCCTGCAGAGGCGACGCTCAGAGTCACGAGTACCGAGAGTCACGCAGACCCAAACTGTTCACAGTCGTATACATACATTTACACTGGGCGTATCCATGCACGCATTCATGCGAATAGAATCAATCGCGCGCAGATTCATTCATAATCAGACTCGCTCGCGATCCGACTCGCACGCGCTCAAGCTTTCATATTCGGACCTATCGTCTTCGTTCGTGTTGTGTACACTGCCACGCATTTCGGCACACCCCTCATACGGCTCGTGGCCCCATAGGGAGCGCCACCGAAGAAGATATTCACAATTGCGGTACTCTCAACTGCATATGGTTGGGTCCTTCGCCAGGCTAATTTTTTTCTCTGGTGTTTCATGACCATCCACTGATTGGGGTTTTTCTCGGGTGTAATTCTAATTTCTGGGCGATCATGGGCGTTACGGGGGGGGATGGGGGCGGCCGAGGCCGGTAGCGGCCGTTATCGCGAAAATCTAGAAACGTTTTCCAGAAGTGCAGACTGCTGGCGCCTGTATCTGGACGGGTGAACCGCTCCCCAAGGCCAACTGAACTGAACTGAACTCCTTCTCCTCCCCACCATCGTCACCTCCTCCCCAGGATGGAGGCGCACTGGGGGGGAGGCCGCCCGAGGAGGAGGGAGGAGGAGGAGGAGGAGGAGGAGGACAAGCGCAGAGTGGGGGTGGGGTCGGGACTCGGATCGATATCGAATCGAATTGGGCGAAGGGCGTAGCCTCCGCCGCTCTCCTGCGCAGGGAAGCACCAGGGGTATGCCTGGTTCGTCGACCTGCTGGCGGCACAGGGCCGCCCCTTCTCGTGGAAGGTTTCAGAGGACATCGCTGTCACCTGCGAAACGGGATCCAACAGAGATGCACATACACTATGCAGCAAGGACTGATCAAAGAACAAACGTATTCTCTGAATGCACAGCCTGTGTATTATGTATACAACGAGAACTAAGACAGACTACACTGAAGGCGGGCAGTGCTACACTGGCGGCCTTTAAAGCTTGTAACTGAAGCTCTTGAATTTGCTTCTATAGCGTGGTTCCATACAGAAAGAGACGAAGTCTAGTCGGTCAGGCGTGCAACTATCAATCTTCATGCTGTACTGTCCGTCACCGTCTCCTTCACCGAACTGAATTTGTATGAGCTTTCTCTATCTCCGCGCTCTGATTGTCGAAAGACAGCCAGTTTTCGCCAGCGCGGCACTTCCAGCTAGTGGTGCCGAGCTGCTCCTGAACCACCTCGGAATCGACCTCGATGCCGTCGTCGTGGGGGCCCACCTGATCGAAGGGCTCCGTGCCCAAGAACTGCTTCTGGACCTCCGCCTGGCTGTTGAAGCCGTCCTGCAGCTTCTCCACGGCCTGCCCGATCTGCACAGGGTCCTCCTGGGTCTTCTCCGACGCCTCGGTCGCCTCCTGGTTGGGCGGCTCCGCAGCCCGCTCCGCGTCGAACTGCACCACCTGCTCGTCCATGGACTCCTCGATGCCGTCGCCGTCGCCGCCCTCCTCGTCGAAGGGCTCCGTGTCCTGGGAACACTTTTGGACCACAGCTCGGATGTCGAAGCCGTCGTGCAGCTTCTCCTTCACGGTCTTCTCGAATTGCTCGGCGTACGAGAAGTCGAGGACACCAGGCACGGCGTCGGCATACTGCTCCGTGTCTTCCACGCGCTGCGTCGGCGCAATGACCCGCAGCAGCTCTTTTGTGACGCCCTCGCCGTAGGTGACCAGCTCGTCGGCCTCCACGTCGGAGACCCGCACGGCAGTGGGCGTT